CATCTCTTTTCTTTTTTTGTTTTATGTTTTTCTTTTTTTAGAAAACCCTTTTTTTTTTTTTTTTTTTTTTGGTGGTAAATTTATTACTAGTATGTATATGGGTGAGTTATATTATACTTTAATTTTTTTCAATATTTTTAATTATTAATAATAGTATGCATAGATAGAAGATCAAATTTTGTATAAAAACAAATTTTATTAATTTGAAGTAAAATGTATTAATTTTGTATAAGAACAAATTTTATTAATTTAAAAATTGAGTAGAGTTTTTTCCTCATTTTCTTATACAGACATTTGATAGTTATCTAAATATCTTGCACAATTTTCTTCAAAAAATAGGCTTTGGATTTGGATATAGGCCCAATAAACAACGGGTGTCCCAATAGCCCACTAGCCCGCAGAAGATGCGAGCCAACGGATCTATTTGGCGGGAAGCAACGGGTCACGCGAGAGTGCCAGCTCATCTTTCCCGCCAGAGACCCCGATAAATACCGGAAAACCCCACATGGCCATTGCTTCTTCTTCTTCTTCTTCTTCTCTGTGAGACTGTGAAACCTCAAAATCTCACCTTTCGATCGAATCTAAATCCCGCATTTCTCTTTGATCTCTGCAATGAGTTCCTTAGGAACCTTCAAATCCAAGACACCCAGAAGCCGAGAAAAGAAAGTCCTAAACCCAAAGCCCCAAATCTTAGGCAATGAGACACTGAGCACCAAAACCCCTCAGAAATCCGAAAAATTCTCTGGACGAGCACGAAACGGCAACGTCGCGTTCTCCATCGGCGACATCAGAAGAGCCGCCGCCAAAAGCCTCAGCGAGTCGAGCCAGAAGCGACGGACGGACCAGATCGATTCTTGGCCCGACGAAAGCCCAAAGAAGAAACGAGTCGGCCGCTCCGAGAAGCTACCGGAAAAGTAAGCGTCTGTGAATCTCAGTTGTCTGTTATATTTATGTGATCTGCTCCTGCATTTCTAGGTTGATTTTGATTTCTTCGATTTGTGGGTTGGCTTATTTCTTCTTTTTGTTTCTTGTTTGCAGATATGAAATATTGAGTGAGTTTTTGAATGGCTTGGACACTTCGATTCGGTTGTTGCGGTTGAGGGGTTTGAAGCCCAGTTTTAGCAATATTTGCCCCCAAATCGAGTGTTTGACGGATAGGTATACTTCAAAAAATAAATAAGATTTTCTTTTCAATTGATTGTTTGGTTGCTGAAGAAATGAAATTAGGCTATTATAGAAATTGATCGTCTCTTTATCTCGGTTTTTAGGAGGTTTACATGTGGTCACTTGGCTCAGCTGAAGTTTGTTTTACCTGAGGTGATTGAGATAAAGAAAGTTCTTGTTAAGGATGAGAGAACCAGTTGTCTGAAGCCTGATCTTCATGTCACCATCAATGTTGATGCACTAGAGAGTGATGGCAAGGCGAAATCTGAAGGTGGTGGGAGTATGAATTTGAGGAAGACGTTCCACAAACGGCTTGCAGATATTTCAAAATCCCATCCTGAGGTATACCCAATACTCAGTTTCTGATACAAACTTACTAAAATGGTTTAATTTCTAAAGTATTCTTTGTTATTAAATTGATCTGGAATCTGGAAAGTTATTGGTGTTCTGGCATGACTTTGAGCGTGCAGAGACTTTAAAGGACACAAGGATTTAGAATATGAATACTGTATTAATTGATGTAACAGAAATAACTCTATGCACATGGTTTCATTTGTTTAGTTTTTTCAAAAGGGTTATTCTTGCAGTTGGGTTCCTATATTAAAAAATGTTTTTATGAATATCAAGTTAGATTATGGTCCTGTACTTGGGACTTCAACGTTTTATTTTTATCAATTTAACAATTTATTTTTTGAACTATTAATAGCATGTGGTCTAACAATGCTTAACATGCTTTCAGGATTATGAAATTCCAGAAGAAACTTTGCCTCAGCCATTTGATATTAGGAAGCAAGATATACAATCAGATACAGGCAAGCTTCCCTTATCATTATCTTCTGGTGACATATTGACTGATGTACACACAGTTGAGCAGCCAGCAGTGTCCACAAGCTGCCTTCAGGGCGATGAAGTTCCAGAATCAAACCTCAATGCAGTTTGCTCTGTTGGGGAAAGGAGTACTTGTGCTTCATTGTATGGCCAAGTGCCTGTGACTCCAACCAAAGGCATAGACCCCATAGAAAATGATGGTAGTTTGCCCACACAAAGTGATAGCATTCAGTCAACTCCAGCAAAGCTTGCTTCAACTCCAGCTAGGTTGATGGCTGACACGCCTGCATTGGACCGACCAAAGCGATGTTATATGAGCCCAGATGATAATTCTACTAGCTCACCGAACAAGTTGGTTAGGCGTCCTCCACGCTCCAGGTCTTTGAAATTTGACACTCCTGTGAAGAATAAAAATGTTGAGGATGAAGTTCCTGATATGGGTGGTGCATCAATCGATAATGACAGCCTCGATATTCTTCCAGAGGATCTTTTGCAATCGGTATGTCTATCATGAATTCTCCAATTTTTTTTCCCGTATTGAGCATGACTTCTATGTCTAGAATTCTGTGAAAGCTGTTGGAGCTTACTAATTCCATCTTACCTTAATCCACCTTCATAAAAGTATCATCTTTTTTTTTTTTTTTGGTCTAAAATGAAATGTCCAAAAGGAGTAGATTACATTTAAATGTAGACTGGACGTATGCTATCATCATTACATTTGGTGCTATTACCATTAATTATGGCAGCATGTGTTCGGAACAATGTGCATACATTGCTAGAAAGCTTTCTTACTTCTGCTAAAATGGTGTAGCGTATTTAAACAAATATTTCCTGAATCCAGCCCACAATGTGTTCTTGTTCTCACTCTTTGTGTTCAACACAGATGAATTTAATTTTGCTCAATTTATTCCCGAAAGTTATTGGGAACCATGTTATAGTTGAAACTCTTACGTGGTTGGAAATGTACTTCAGTCTCAATCTTCTAGCCTGCTTATTCCAAGTCTTTACATGTACTACCTGAACTTGAACATAATGAATTGTAATTCTGAGAAGAATATATCTTTTTTCAGCTTAGAGAAAAGGAGAGGAAGGCAATAGAGGAGAGAAATCCAGCCATCTCAGAAGCAAAGAGGCGGCACCAAATGATTTCCAGCCTGCCTAAGCTCTTCAATATGATTCATTTCCTATTGCAGTCTATGAACCGTTCCGTTATCACAAAAGAGGAGCTTGTACACAAGCTAATCTGGACCAATTTTGATATTGTTGACAGAAGTAAGTCTTTAAATAAAAGCCAATATTTCTATGAAAGCTCATGGTGAGCCTAACTCTTTCTTTCTTCTTTTCGCAGAGGAAGTTCAAGAGCAGCTAAAATTGTTGCTAGAGCTGGTTCCTGATTGGATTTCTGAGAAACAGTTGGCATCTGAAGCTGATTTGATTATGATCCAGTGAGTTTTCTCCATAGTTAGAAGTACAAATCATGCGTTTCGAGTGCAGATGTATTTATCTTCTATTAAAAGGATAAACACTTAATAAAATTGTCTGATGTCATTACTTATGGTCTCTTGCAGCATTAATAAAATGTCAGATCCCGAGTCCATACGTGCAAGGCTTGAGGAAGCAAAGTGAGATAGAGAATGCTAGAATTTTTGAAGTTGTACGAAAAGCATATTTAGAGATGTTGTACAATTTTCCCATTTCATTCGGCATCTTAGTGTGTGTTTATTATTGTTGATGTAAAGGACATCTGGGTGGCATAATCATGTAGGTAGAACGAAGGCCTTCTCCAAGAATGTTATTTACCAACAAGATTGTATAAATATCTATTTCCTTCCTTCCTGTTGTTTTTAGTTTTCTGTGTTTGAAATAATGCTGAAATCTCTAAGCAACATACAAAATGCCATCACAAGCTGATGGAATGTATACTCTCATCTCTAGTCAACTTCAAGCCTACAGGGTTTTTTACTTTTCTGGTCCACCGTAAAGGGAAGACATCAAATGAGGCAAATAATTGAAGCCTTTTTATATGGATCCTTAAAGATAATGTTCTTCTTTGCTCAAAATAAAAGGTAACTTCGATTACAAGTTAACTTCAAGCCTATTATACCCCATATTTAAATCATAACAAATAAAAAATAATAATTAATGCCAGAGAGATTATTGAATTCCCTATTATACCCATAATTTTTCTTAAACCCTAAAAAAGATTGGCTTCTCTTCTCTCCTCATCGCTCGAGAAACAAGGATGAAAAACTTGTTGGAAAGCTCTGAACCGGAGAACAACAGCAATGCTGGCCCAAGTGATACTGTATGCATTTCTCTTCTCTTATGGACTGTAAAATGAAGTTGTTATGTTGTCCGTCAATGTTGAGATGCATGCTATAATTGTCACATTCTGGGATCTGCTCTGCCGTAGCAACTTCTTAGTGGGTCACTCATCTTGGGATTGCTCTAGTCTCAACTCGCTTAACTTCTGAGTTCTCATGACACCGAAGCCAGTGAGCTCCCAAAAGGCCTCGTGCTATATGGAGACGGGCATATACATATAAGGCACATCACCCCTTTTCTGTTGGTCGATATGGAATGTTACAATAATAACTTCCTTGGAAATGTTGGAATTCACTTTTCATCTCTAATTGTCGTATGACGGTTTTACATATGCAATTGGACAATAAATTTTGAAGAATAAACACTTGATAAAATTGTGTGATGTTTATTACTTCTCGTCTCTTGCAGCATTAATAAAATGTCGATCGCGAGTCAATACGTGCAGCTAGAGAATGCTAGAATTTTTTAAGTTTACTTGTGCGAGAAGCATATTTAGAAGATGGTGTACAATTTTCCCATTTCATTAGGCATCCATCCATTTCCTTCCTTTTGCTATGAATCTTCTCTCGTTAGACCTGTTGTACCAGCTTTCAATTTCTCACTAAAAACAATATCTTAATGCTGAGGAATATTGCTCCTAGTCGAAAAAGGCTGCTCTAACTGTGTACGTGTAAAATATTTTACAAGAAAAAGAATATATATTTTTTATAAAGTCAATAGGGTTTTTCTAATTTTCTCCAGCGTGAAGATATCAAATCAAGGAAATTAATTGAAGACAACATTTTTCAACTTCAAGTATGGAAATGAGACTTCTGATATAGATAGACTAGCAGTTGGAAGAAAATATATTCATTAAAAACAATAAGCATCTCCATCTTTCAATTATAACATAAATAAATCATTAATACTTCATAAGAAAATTGAACTCTATAAGCCTATTACACCCATATTTAATACAAATTACAAAAATAAAAAAAACCCTCCATCCACAGGACCTACAAGGAAAGGTTGGATTTTCAAACACCCCACCCAACCTTTGGTGGGGAAGCTTGAAAAGATGTTCACACACTGAGCAAAATAGTAAACGGTCAAAGAAGAGATAATAACCAATTTAATATATTCTTCAATGTTTAGTAAACGGTCAAAGGAGAGATAATAACCAATTTAATATATTCTTCAATGCATTTTCTGCATGCCATTGTTTCTCTTCAAAACTTTTTCAGAGAACTAAAAAAAAGCTCTGAATTCAATTAGTTATGTTCCAAGAGCATGAAGAAATCAGAGACACTTATTTGTTTTGTTCTTCTGTTCTGTCTTCTTGAAGCAATACATGCACAAACTGAAGCAGAAGCTCTGCTAAACTGGAAAATCAGTTTAAGCTCTTCTTCTTTAACATCATGGACTCTCACTAGCAGCAGAAGCAGCCCTTGCAACTGGACTGGAATTCAGTGCAATGAAGCTGGCAGCATTGCTGAAATAAATTTGGTGGATTCAGGCCTTGATGGAACACTCAACAGGTTTGACTTCTCTGCCTTTCCTAATCTCTCTTCCCTCAATCTCAATTACAACGATCTTGTGGGAGAAATCCCAGTTGGGATTGGGAATGCAACAAAGCTCACTTTACTTGATCTGGGAAGTAATAACTTCACAAACCCGATTCCCCCGGAGATCGGGAACCTCTCAGAACTCCAAGTTCTTCTTCTCTACAACAATTCACTCACAGGTCAAATCCCATATCAGCTTAGCAACCTACAAAAAGTTTGGAATCTCAGTTTAGGAGCAAACTATTTAGAGAATCCTGATAATGTTCAGTTTAAGGGGATGGCATCTTTAACAGACCTTTGGCTCTACTATAACAATTTGGTGGAGGTTCCCTCATTTGTCTCAGAATGTCCAAAGCTAATATCTCTAGATTTGTCCTTCAATCTGATCACAGGTCAGGTTCCAGTGCAACTACTGACAGGTCTTAAGAACCTTGAGTACCTAAACCTGACCCAGAATTCATTTGAGGGACAAATTCCTGCAGGTATTAAGAATTTTTCTAAACTTCGACACCTGAGGTTGGGAATAAACATGCTCAATGGTACTATACCAGACGAAATTGGGTTCTTGTCGAACCTCGAATTGCTTGAACTGCAAGAAAATTTGTTCCAGGGACCAGTACCATCCTCAATAGGAAATCTGCAGATGCTTCAGAATTTGAATCTTCATAGTGCAGGCCTGAATTCCAGCATCCCGAAAGAACTTAGTTCCTGTGTGAACCTTACTTTTCTTGATCTATCAAAAAACAACCTTACTGGTCCTTTGCCTCTTTCCATGGCCTTCTTAACAAGGATCGAACAGCTGGCAATTTCAGATAATCAGTTATCTGGTGAACTCTATTCATCCCTTTTATCGAATTGGACAGAACTCATTTCGTTGCTACTCCCAAATAACAAACTGTCTGGAGTCATTCCTCATGAAATTGGTTTACTCCAAAAGCTCAATTATCTCTATCTTTATGAAAACCAGTTTTCAGGTCCCTTGCCTCCAGAAATAGGAAATTTGTCGAATTTGTTAGAGCTTCAAATGTCCACCAATTCTTTCACCGGTACCATCCCTTCAACCATTGGAAATTTATCTAAGCTTGTCAAATTAGGCCTTTATGAAAACCAGCTCAGTGGAAACCTTCCTCCTGAAATAGGAAGGATGGAAAACTTAGAAGAACTGGACTTCAGCTTCAACAAGTTGCAGGGATCTTTGCCTTCATCAATAACCAGCTTGCAAAAGATTACCATATTCTATGTTACATCTAACAACTTGTCAGGAAGCATTCCTGAAGATTTTGGTCCCACTCTTTTGAGAAATGTGAGTTTCTCCAGAAACAATTTCTCTGGAAAGCTTCCTCCTGGAATTTGTAATGGAGGGAACCTTGTTTACATAGCAGCCAACAATAACAAACTAGTGGGACCTATTCCAGGAAGTCTTAGGAACTGTACAGGATTGAACCGAGTCCGGCTGGAGCAGAACCTTCTCAATGGAAATGTCACAGATGCATTTGGCGTATACCCAAATCTGGAATTTATTGGCTTGGGATATAACCAACTCTATGGTGTTTTGTCATCCAACTGGGAAAAATGTACAAATCTCTCAGACTTCCAGATACCTTCCAACATGATATCAGGTAACATCCCTCCAGGGCTGGGAAAATTGCCAAATATGCAAAATCTCGACCTTTCTGATAATCAACTTACTGGGAGAATCCCCGTGGAGCTATTCGGTCCCTCTTCGCTTCTACTCAAACTTAATGTGAGCAACAATCAGCTTTCAGATGGGATACCAGCAAAAATTGGAGCATTGGTAAAGCTGCAGTACTTGGATTTTTCAGCAAACAATTTAAGTGGACCAATACCAGAAGAGCTTGGGAACTGCCAGGAACTTTTATACTTGCAGCTGAGTAGAAATAGACTAAATGGCACAATGCCATTTCAGCTAGGAAATCTTTTGGCGTTGCAGTATCTCCTAGACCTCAGTCAAAATTCAATCACAGGAAAGATAACCCCACAAATTGGGAATTTAATAAAATTAGAAATATTGAATCTTTCTCACAATCATCTCTCTGGTTCAATACCTAATGGTCTTCAGTATCTACAAAGTCTTCAAGATGTTGACGTGTCATATAATAATCTTGAAGGTCCTCTCCCCGAGAATCAGGCATTTCGAAAAGCTCCAGCAAAGTCAGTGGCAGGCAACACTGGTCTGTGTGGAGAGAAGAGACAAGGACTGAGCCCCTGCAATGCAGACTCTTCAACAAAAAACCAAGACAAAAGCAACAGAAGGAAATTGATTATTGCCATAGCTACGTCAGTGGCTGCTTTAGCCCTTCTATTAACTTTGGTTGGGGTTTACATTATGTTGTGTCGTCGATCAAGGGCTAATCAACATAAAAGGGACAATAATATAGAAGGAAGATCCACATTTTCTGTATGGAATTACATGAAGAGAGTTGATTTTAAAGACATAGTTGCTGTTACAGAGAATTTCAATGACAATTATTGCATAGGAAGGGGTGGACAAGGAAGCGTGTACAAAGCAATGCTACCTACAGGTGACATCTTTGCTGTGAAGCGTTTTCAACCATTTGATGAAAGTGAAAATCCCAAGGAAAACCAGAAGAAGAACTTCATGGCTGAAATGCATGCACTCACTGAAATCCGACACCGAAATATTATCAAACTGTATGGATTCAGCTCCTACAATGGCTCCATGTATTTCGTGTACGAGTATGTAGAAATGGGTAGCTTGAACAAGGTAATTCAGGAGGAGAAGGAGGGACAGATTTCGAACTGGGAAATCCGGTTAAAGATTATCAGAGGAGTGGCACATGCACTTTCTTACCTGCACCACGACTGTTCCCCAAGAATCGTGCACCGAGACATAACAGGAAATAACATACTATTAGACATAGACTTGGAGCCCAAGATATCGGATTTTGGAACAGCAAGGTTGCTGAGAGAGAATGAGTCTAACTGGACAGTTCCTGTTGGCTCATACGGTTACATGGCACCAGGTATTTCTCAAATTCACCCACAACTGAGCAACACTTTTGTCCTTAAAAGGCAACAAAATATATATAGTTGAAACCATGAACTCAAACTTTCCATTTAAATGAAGAAAGAAAAAAAGTCCAAGTCCAAAAGGATATATAATCTCATTAAATTCTTGTACTTGTTCCTCTGTTTTTGTTGCAGAGCTTGCTTCTACAATGAAGGTGACAGAGAAATGTGACGTGTACAGTTTCGGCGTAGTTTCTTTAGAGCTACTCATGGGGAAGCACCCTCAGGAACTCCTCCTAAGTCTGCAATCTGGAGAAGACATAGACATGCTCTTAACTGATGTCCTTGACAAGAGGCCTGCACCACCTGCTGGTCCAGTTGAACAAAGTCTGGTCTTAACTACCAGCCTCTCACTGGCTTGCATTCATGAAAATCCCATTTCTCGACCCACCATGCATCAAGTGGCTGCTCAACTCTCAGCAGCATCCAAACATATATCTCCACCTGCATCTTTCCATACGCTCACATTAAGGAACTTGATGGATATGTTGTAGTAAAATATAACTGTTATTATAAGCTTGTTACCTACTTCATGGACATACTACTAAAAAGTCACTTGATTCAAGAGTTTGAGATGAATTTCTTTTCTTCAAACCCCAAAATGCTGTTTTTTCTTCTTTTTTTCTCCCCAAAAGCCCAAAAAGAACTAAGACTACGGATATTCCTTCGATTATTTTTTGTAAGTATTTTATTATTGAAGGCAAGGACTTTGAAGTTATTTTAAAAGGGGACAATTAGTCCCTAAAATCTTTTAAAATGTGGATGATAGAGAATATTTCTGGGTATGCGTACTAAAAACAACCAGGGAAGAGAACCTACTAGTGAACTTGGCAACCGCTCAAATATGGAATCTCCATTTTTCAGCATTGGAGAAAGAAATGGGTAAGCAAGTCTATTTCATTCAACCACTAAATTTTACAACAGCCAAGCGTCACACAGAAATAAATACATAATTCACAAAAGAATTAAAAAAATGGACATCATGAACATACAATCACAAACCAATCTTGTTTCCGCCTAAAAAAGAAAAACAATCTTATACAAACACTAAGCTTCAGCAGCACCCCCTCTATTCAAAGCCCTTTCCAACCTTGTCTCAAATGGGGTAGAATGCCAATTCACTCTTTTATCCTGCAAACCCATGAATTTTTATCAGAACCCACCAAGACCTAATGGAAAAGAGTCTCACAAATCTTACTTCCAATGTACCTCTCTGTATTTGCTGGTGGTATTTGGTATTCCTTTGTAAGAAGCACCAGAAGAACCCTTGGCAGGAGGAGCTGAGTGATTCCAGTAGGTTCCAACAGTCCCTATTATGGGCATCTCATCGGGACTTCTAGTTGGCGACTTCCTTGGTGAAGAGGAAGCTGAAAACTGTCTGAGCTCTTCAACAGTTAATGCACCTAAAATTGGTCTATCTTCTTGGCTTCTCACTGAGTTTGATCCGTGGGACATGCTTTTCTCGGGTGTGCCAGTGTCCAAAGCAATTGTGCTAGTCTTGTTAACAGGTATATGTTCTGATGAAACCAACCAGTTTGAGAGGCTAGCATCAACTGCCACTTCTTGGTGAGGATTCTTCGAATGCTTCTTGTGTTGATCAGCTTTGGATTTGAAGCTCAAACTTGGTTCCGAACTGAATGAAATCCGGGGCTCTTGATCCAGTGTGAAATTCTCTTTCTGAGGCTTCATTAGTGATGTCCCTTTGGCTTTGACAGCTTTCCACTGTGTAAGATTTTCAACAGGGTTTAGCACGGAATGGACATAACCACTCCTATCACGTGCATTGTGGTTCAAACCAGTTGGTTTTATTGGCATTGGACTATCAAAATCCTCAGTACTTATTTGAGGTATAGAAACCCCTTTATTCGATTCTACAATTTCATCTTCGTACTCTAGTTCCCCATCATCGTCATAGTAATCATCCTCATCTTCATCATCAAGATCACTGTCTTCAGAGTCTAATGGTTCATCTTCATCATCACTATCCCTGCAATTCTGGTACCTATGATTAGGAGGGTATGACCCTGAGCTCGAAGTGATCGAACTATCGTCAGAGGAAGACTTGGATTGGCATGGTTTTTCCAAAATCTTCCCCTCTTCCTTCTTCCCACTCTCTTCAGTATCCAATAAAGGATCCGAGGTCTCGTTGCTTGAGACATGCTCGTAGGTTTTGACATTAGAATCAAAAGTTACTTTCTTTCTAGCATTTAAGCTCAGTTGCTCCACTGGCTTATCCCTGCAGACCATAACTCATAACTTTAATATAAAAAACACCAAAAAAAATAAGTGTAATCTAAAAGCAAACAGATGCAATTGAACTGAAAAAAACCATTAAGTGGAAGAAAAATATATATATATATATAAAGCAATTGAACTGAAAAAACCATGAAATTCAATCGCTCACCGGACTTCTTCCAATACGGGGCTAATAGGAGTTTCCTGAACCTCCGATACAGAAGAGACTGCAGATTGAACAGGCTCGAAACTTGTATATCTCTGCCAAAAACAAATTTAGAGAAGGAGAGATTAGTTGAGATTAAATACAAAGCTCTGTTTGGCCGGTGATAAATCCACAGAAAGTCGAAAAACAAAGTCTTGAACTTTAAGAGTTTTCTGAATAGAACAATTAAAAGATAGAGAAAATCTTACTAACTGAGCCTAATTCAACAACATATGGCCTACTCAGAACTGACTGGTCTGTTTACAAACTTAGAACCCCAAAAAAGGAAACAATAAAGAATCAAAGTTTAAAACTTTGCTTGTTTCTAGTCTTTCTTTCTACAGTTTTCTCAGGAACCAAACAGGTGGAAACATGACCATAAAGCAAGCTTAGAAACTCTGACTTACATGGTCTCGGTGCTGAACCCTGTACCTCTGTATCCTGCGTTTTTTGTCTTTGGAAGAACCAAAACATGCAAGAAAGCAACCCATTATTGATCTCTTTCCTCTGGGTCTCTCAAAGATTGCGTCTTTCTGTAAAAGAAGGAATTGGGTTCTGGGTTTTCATAGTTTCAAATCCATCTTTCCCACTGGAAGAGGGAGAGGGAGAGAGAGAGAGAGAGCAGTGGCCGTTGGGTTGGTAGGTAAAGAATTAGAAAGTTTTCTAAAGGTAAAGGAGGGGAAGGAAAGGACAAAACGGTCATAAACTTTGAAGGATTTGGGGCTTGGGGACCCTACCACTAGAGAGACAGAGAGACAGAGAGAGGGCGCCCCTAGGGTTCTTTAAATTTCGAGAAAAGGGATGTGACCGTTAGGGATTCATGAGTGTGTTGATCACAGCCTGTAAATTGGGGATTTTTCTAACGCCAAGCTGCGTTGCAGACTCTGTCTTTATTTAATCTGCACCGTTCATCACTGATCACTAAAAACATTGGTAGCCTGTGGGCCCTACATCTACCTCATGTTTTATCTGGACCCTTCGTACCCGCTCCGCTGGTCCCATGAGCGATGGGCCAATGGTTTAGAATACTCATGAAATGAGAAACCGACTCTTGCAAGGTGGGAGGGATATTGGAAATAAGAATACTTGATTCTGAGTTCATTCAGTTTTGCTAAGTTTTAATATCCTAGAGTATCCCCATATTGCTTGCATCCCTACAATGAGTGGGATGGGATCATAGGGCCTCTATATTTACCATCCAGTTATATCACCCTCCTGTCATTAAAAAAAATGTATAATTTATTATGATTTACGGTGACAGAAAAAGAAATTTTTTGATAGACTTTGTGTTGGTGGTTCGGCTTGAATTGTATTAGAATTGAGTCCGAGCCAATTATCATGCATCTCACAACTCTAAATGAGATTGTAAAACACAAATTTATGAATTCATCAAACAATAATAAGGGCATTAGTTAAATTTAATTAAAATAGTTTAGGATAGGTTGAATCGCCAAGCAACTTAGTTACAATTGCAACTAAATTGTCCCATCTTCTAGAAAATCATAAATTAAACTATGATACTAATAAGAAAAATTCATGTGTCTAGAAACAATTTCAGGCGAGGAATGATAAATTCTTTGTTCATGTTATCTCAATCCACAATTGGAGGTAAATGCTCCATCATTACTAATAGACAATGAAAAAAATAAATAAGGGTCTTCATTTAAAAATGAAGGACTTTATTCAAAAGAAATAATTTATCATAATGATAAAAAGGAAAAGCTATAGTGGGGTGAGAGAGGCTCGAACTCTCGACCTCAGGATAACTCAGAAGCTATGAGACCTACGCGCTAGCCAACTGCGCCACCACCCCGTTGTTGTTTTTTCTTCTACAGTAATTTTACTTAATGTATAACATTCTCGCCATTGGTTGGGCAAACCTTCGCGGCTATCTTCCAGTTCCCACGTGCCCAATTCGGTGTCGTTTTCAAACAAACCCTAGGCAGTAGCCCTTCCCTCCTCGACACTTCCTCCTCCTTCCTTTCTAACCCCTCTGTGTCTCCTCTCTCTCTCTCTCTCTCTCTCTCTCTCTCGTTTCAGAGAGCAGAAACAACACCAAGACACAAAACACACACAGAGAGCCAGCCATGGACTCAGACGAAGGTAAACTGTTCATAGGAGGGCTGGCCTGGGACACCACAGAGGACAAGCTCACCGACTACTTCAACCAGTACGGTGACGTCACCCAGACCGTCATCATGCGCGACAAGACCACTGGCCGGCCCAGGGGCTTCGGCTTCGTTGTCTTCTCTGATCCCTCGGTGCTCGATAGGGTCCTCAACGACAAGCACACCATTGATGGCCGAGTGGTCAGTCTCTGTCCCTCTTTTATTTTAGCTGCATTGGCTCATCGATTGGGATTGCTTAATGCTTTTCTTGTTTATGCTAATTTTATTGGGTTTAATTGTTTTTTTAGCTTCTTGTGTGTGTTCTGCGTTCTGGGATTTCGTTACTTTGCTGTAATGTGTTATGGGTTTGGCTATTTTGATGTTAATTTTTATAGGCTTTCACATGCTTTAGCTGTTTTGAGTGTTATTGCGTTCTGGAGTCTCTTATTATGTGGTAATGTGTACTGGGTAATGCTAATTTTGAGTTGGGCTTGCATCTGCTTGCTGAAGACCCATAAGAGTTAGCGAAAGAATCAATTATTTGGCTTATAATGTCTATCTTTGTATTGATTTTTTTTTTTTTTAAAAAAATATTTATAAAAAGAGTCTATCTTTATTGTGTCTTTTGACTTTCTACTGATTTTGTTGGTTGTTAAGCTCCTTGTGGGGAACTTTACAGAAGTACTTACAGTTATGTGATTTTTGGGTTCATTGTGGTCTTTGACTGATGAAAACCAAGTTCATTAGGGCGAGAATTCCATTGTCATTGCTTACTTAGTCTGCTAGAAATAATTTTGTGTATGTGACATCTTTTCTAAGATGTAAAGTGTGTGCAAGCAATGATTTTTAATGGGAGTTTCGTATTATTATCTACTTCTTATTCGTTAGTGAAGATTTGTCTATGATTTTATATTCTGGGTGCCCATTGATGTGAAATTATACGCATAGGGTGCTTCATGGAAGCACAAGATTAAGTTGTCAACATTAAAAAACTTGACTATTCAATCCCAAAACAGTCAGTAATTTACTGAAAATTATGTTGTATAACAACACCAACTTACTCTTGATTTAAATGGCTGAATTTATTTCTTCTAAGCACGGCTTAATGGTACTGGTTAAAAAGTTTGTACAAACACACATAGGGAGGTTGGATTATTTTCTTTTATTTTAAAAATTCCTGTCATGGCCTTCAATTGTGAAATTGTCCAAATACAAATTTTTAGCTTTTAGTCTCAAAATGATTGACTTCTAGTTTTTAAGATTCAATTACTACTTTTATGTGTCTCCTTACAAAAAATTCTCAGCTGATTTGTGTATGGAACAATTTTTCAGGGATGACATAAATCTACCACTTTCATTTTATTGGGTTGTTTCTTGCCCCTTATGGATGGGCGTATACTAGTTTAATATATTTCTTTGCTTTCTCTGTACATATGTTTGTCCCTTCATCAGTTGAATGTTCTACTTTGACTACACAGGTGGAAGCAAAAAAGGCTTTATCAAGAGAAGAACAGCAGACATCCAATAGAAGTGGAAATTTTAATACCACCAGAAGCTCTGGTGGGGGAGGAAATTTTAAGACCAAGAAAATATTTGTTGGAGGATTGCCTTCCACACTGACAGAAGATGGATTTCGTCAATTCTTTGAAAATTATGGCACTGTCACTGATGTAGTAATAATGTATGACCAGAATACTCAACGACCCCGTGGTTTTGGTTTCATAACATTTGATACTGAAGATGCAGTTGATAGAGTACTACACAAGAACTACCATGAGTTGAATGGTAAACTTGTAGAGGTAAAGCGAGCACTTCCTAAAGATGCAAATCCTGGTGGTGGGGGCCGTGGTGGGGGTTTTCAAGGTTACAATGCCTCTGGTGCCAGTACAAATGCATTTGATGGCCGCATGGATGGCAATAGGTACATGCAGCCACAAACTACAGCAGGTGGTTTCCCTCCATATTCTGGTTATGGTGCGCCAGGGTATGGTTATGGGGCGGCAAATGCTGGGGTTGGTTATGGAGGTTATGGAAGTTATGGTCTTGGTGGTTATGGAAGTGCCAATACTGGTTTTGGTGGTCCTGCAGGATCATATGGAAATCCGAATGCCCCTAATGCTGGTTATGTTAGTGGGGCACCTGCTGCATTGAAAAGTACTTGGAGCAACCAAACTCCTTCTGGGTATGGTGCTTCTGGTTATGGGGCTGCAGCTCCTTGGAGTGCTCCTGGTGGAAGTGGTGCTCCTTCTGCTCCAAGAGGTCAATCCCCAAGTGGGGCCTCTGGTTACGGAAATCAAGGTTATGGGTATGGAAATTATGGCGGGAGTTACGCTTCTTATCCTGGTGGATACGGGAGCTCTGGTGGGCGTGGTGGAAGTACCCCAACTAGCAACTCTGGTGGTAGTGCTAGTGGTGGAGAGCAACAAGGGACCCGTGGTGGCTACATGGGGAGTGGCTATGGCGACACCAATGGAAATTCAGGGTACTCTAATGCATCATGGAGATCTGATCCTTCACAGGCCACTGGTGGCTATGGTGGTTCTCAGTCCAGGCAGGCCTAACATTGGAGATCCAACAGATTTTGAAATTTGTTTCACAGGAATCCTTGTGCAAGTGATCATTTCTCCAGTCTGACAGTTTATGCGTGAGAAGAGTTGAAATTAAATCCAGAGACTGGTTGGATTGCTTAATTCTTGGTGGTAGTTGGCAGGTCTGCTAGAAGTTACAACCAATGCATTCTAGTAGTAGTAATTCTTATTGAAATTTTCAGAATTTAATATCTAGGATGCTTAAATTGTGCGTGCTTTATGATTTTGGAGCTCCCCTCTTCCCCTTTCCACTCAACCCTCTCTCTCTCCCTCTCTTTTCTGTTTGACCTAGATAGTTTCTATTGAACTTACTTATCACTGTGGGTAATGATGATAGTTATTGTTTCTGGTGCTGCATTAGTTTTATCAGTTGTGATGTGCTAGAAATTTTATGTTACTGTCTTCATTATTCATGCTCATTGAATTTTTTTTTCCTTGATCAGACTCATTGAACTTATTTATCCGGTGGGTAATCACGATAGTTCATTGTTCCTGGTACTGGATTAGTTTAATTCAGTTTCTGTGCGCTAGATGTTACTGCCTGGATTACTCATGCTTTGAGTTTATTATGTCTGGTCCATTTAAGCAACTGGGCTACTGCATTTCTAGTGATTGAAGGGTAGATCTAGTAAAACTTAAGTAGCACTGAGTAATATGTGCGCCGCATGATAGGATTACTCTACACTCTTCTTGAAATGTGTAATAACTTTCCTCCTGGATTTGCACTTCTTGTGCAGGAGATCCTACTTTTCAATTCTGGGATGCAATAATTTTATAAATGGGATTTGTAGCATGGACATGATTTTCAGGTTGGAGTTGCTCGATGCATTGCCTTGGTTCAGAGTTGTCCAAGCCAGTCTTTGTGGTGGTATGTTACCAAAAAGTTTATGTGGGTAGTTTTAGGTGCTCAGTTTCATTTAATATGGGATTATATAAGTACCTGTTTATGTGTTTTCCTTGATTATAGATGTCGGTAGTGTTCTTTTAGGATTGAAGACGGGAAAAGGATAACAAGAGAAACAAACATGAAAGTAGAAATCTTCAGAATAGTTTTGACAGTTCGAGTCATTTGGAATCAGAGTCATTCTTGATTTATATAGTATATAGGGTTGGCTAACTTTTCAAGAGGCCCCAATTTTGATTAGAGATCCGTGAAGACAATACTTTCTCCTTTTGTTGCATGATTGGGAATATTAATGGTAGTTGAAGAATAATTCATACGTAATTCCAACTACATATGCCAGTTTGGGCAACAAACTTAGCGCTGGCTTGGCTTAAGCGTCGATCAGTGTGAATTTTATTATGAAACTCACACCAATTAACTCCACAATTTTTAGGCAAAAAATAGAAGGGAACAAGAGTTTTAATAGGAACACCGTTGCGTCCTTGGTTGATTGTGAGGTCTACATCCATCAAAAGTTGATACTCACCCAATGTAAGTGAGCTGATAGTTGCGCCGGTTTATGCATTAAATTGTTTCCTTGGCCTGATACTTGGCCATCATTAGTGGTCTCTTTCCTATCTTTGTTAGTTTCATTACTAAGGGTTCGTTTTGGAGTGATTTTGGATATGTCAAAAAGCACTTTTTTGGAGAATCACTTCTCTATATAATCACTTTAAGTAGTTTTATGTGATTCTACAGACGAAGTGATTCTGACATATCTAGAATCACTCCCAAACAAGTCATTTTGCAACAAAAAAACAAGTTAGTGAAAAAGGAATCCCTTTTGCATTACTTGTGAATGAACGGAACAGAAACACTCATACTAGTCCTTGGTGCTCTTTCGTTTCCAAGACTTTAATAAAAATGCAACAAAAGAAAAACATATCTAGAACAGATGGAATGGGAAAACAATTCCTTTTCTGAGTCAGCATGAATTAATTTATTCAGAACATGAAAAATACTAGACGTATTCAAGCCAAGCCACACTTGACGTCTCTGTTACTTGTCTTCTTCGACAAATTTCGTCCAATCGCTTCCCCATCTTCAAAAGCAACTGTAGTAAAACAATCAGAGATCAAAAGTGAATTACAACATTTGGGGGCGTTTGGCATCTTATTCGAATAGGGAACTAAATTTTTTTGATTTTTCTTAAAAACAAGGAATTCTTAAATCTATTTTTAAGATTCAAAAACTTGTTTGGTATACAACTTAAAAACTGTTTTCAAATCTTAAAAAATTGAGAACTTGTAGGTTATTAAAAAAAAACTGAAAAAACAGATGTTTTGTTTTTCATAATTGTAGTGTTTTTAAGTTTTTCTTGAGTTTAAGTTTTTAAAAATAAGGCTACCAAATAGGTTTTCTTTGTTTTGGACTCAAATTCTGTTTTTGAATTTAAAAAGTTGGATTCAAGTTTAATACCAAACAGACTCTTAATTTCCAAAGAAGTTCTTACATGCATCTCAACATTGACAGACACATCTACAAAAACATTGACAGAAATATCATCTTGAGTTCACATGGATGACCGTATTCGTCGACTCTTGGAACAATCCACATATATATATATATCAAACAAGAATCACTTTGGATAATACATTTAACCAAATTTAACTTCCTCACCTTCTCTAACCCCTTCCGCATCTTCTCCTGTTCCTCTTTGTAATACTCATCATACAGCTGCAAAATTCCAATACAAAACTGTTTCAGTTCATAGCATTATTTTGATTTTTGATTTTTTCAAATTGGCATATATCATCCAATTAGAATAAGGAGCATCACCAAAAAAAAGAAAAAGAAAGTGACTGCTACATTTACAAAAACAAGCTAATAAAGTTTACCAAATACATAGATTTTATTTCCTCACCTCTTCTGGCCATAATTGAGGATCCTCATCCAGATCCATAACATCCACCTCCGACTGCTCCTGAAAATTTTCAGTACAAACTCTAACATGCATTTCAAATCAGCATATCCACCTAACCAGACTAGAAAGATCAAATTTTCAGACTCCGGGAACTATTCTATTCCCACTTTGCATCAAACTAGTGTCACTTTCTTTCCTTTTAGATTTGATTAGTGGAACCTAATAATGGTTCACGAGCAAACAACATTTTATGTGCCTAAAACAACATATGTCTAATGTTCGAAACAATCGAAATTCGATGAGCAAAATCTTCTAAAGAACACCAGGTAAACTTGGAATTATGAGAATCCATTTCATTACCTCCTCTCAGATCGATGTCCCGACGTCTTCACCACCAGCATCCTACAACAATCATAGATACAAAGTTTCAAAGTGATTACAAGATTTATAAACAAGCTATAGCATGTGAACCCAGATGTGTCTAGAGCAATAAAAAGGAACATACACTATCCTTGTTTTCAAGATGGCTCATCATCATTTTGAAGATGAACTTTGGAAACCTATTAGGATCATCACGCGTTGGGGGCACTAACTTCCTTAACTTTGCAATATCATCAAGAATAAAATCGAGAGGCCTGCAGATTGGCAGTTGAACCATTTCAAATTGGGAAAGAGGGGGGAATAGTCACATCATACACGATGACACGTTAAGAATTACAAGAATAATAGAGGACAAATTAAATGGGTGAGGATTTTTAAAGGCTCGAATCCTGCTTTCCCTCGTGTTGCTGTTCAGGAGCTTCTTCCATTTTCTTCTCTATCTCGGGATTTAGCTGAATGGCAAATTGGATAGAATTATATATATATATATATATACAGAGAGCTTTCATTGAGGGATCCCTCAAATAAGCTTATTTGAGAGACACCCCTTGTAGGGCCCACTCCGGATTGTATTTCACTAATCCAAACCGTCTATTTTGTAGATACACATTCAAAGATCATTTCTACAAAAAATCATTTGAATCCGATATCATTTGACCATTCAATTGATTTATTGAAATTTTAGTATTTTCTTGAAGCACCGTGTTCATTGATTTTGTAGGACACAATTGGATGTCGAAATGGTTTCCGATTTGTCTAATTTTTTGTAAGGATGATCTATGAATGAAGACCTAAAAAATAGATGGTTTGGATCATTAGAAACAAAATTGTAGGGTACCCTAAAGGGTGTCCCTCAAATAAAATTATTTGAGGGATCCCTCAATAGAAGGGGACTGTATATATATATATATATATATACAGATAAAAAAAATAGGTACATAAGAGACAAATAAAGTTTTTTAGTTTATTATATCAGTCTTGAATAAAACCAAAGCCAAAACATGTATGATTAGCAGCCCAGAAGAGACAACCGAATTGATTCCAAAATTCATAAAAATATGCGAATTGAAAAAAAAAAAATTTGAACTAATGAAAAGCAATAACTTTAATCATATATATTTCATGGGAAGACTCCACTAAAATAAAACCTTTTTATTTTTGTTTGTCAGTAGTGATTTCATTAAAAGGGTTTAGGGTTTGGCCAAGAGAAACAAAACAACCCTTAACCAACCAAGGAAGCAAACAAAACGACCACGGAAGACAAGTCCCAACCAAGACAGACCAACGAAACCACATCGCAGACTAGTTCTCATGGGATTGGGGGGGGGTGGGAGGCAGAGAGGATAATCATTTTCTCAAGATAATTTTTGGCGGTTTTTATTCCTTACACATCAAATAAGAAAATTTGATTTTATGGGATTTTAGTATGAAATATATATTGACTTAATGAGTCATCATTTTTAGCAAAACTCATACTTTGCACAAAAACCGATTTTTCATATTTGATTTGGTGGGAATTTGATTTTCTAGTATTTTTATTTGAATTCAAATAGAGTAATATTGTGGAACCCTATATTTATTAAATTATATAGTTTGAAGATTTAATATTTTGCCATTTAATTTATATATTATATTTTATTGAAAACTTAGGAGTTAAGGCTTAAAAGATATATTTGGTAAGAAGTTTGAGGTCGACTCATTAGCATGAGGTGTTGGATCAAGAGTCTTGTAGCTAGAGATGGTGCCACCATTCTTGCTAGGTGGCGGGACATGCAAAGATTGAAGATAACCTCAAGTTGTTGTTATCCTATATTGTTGCCGCCAAGAGTATTAACCAATGATGAATTTCTTGTTGCCTATTTCTACTACTATAAATAGAAGTCTATGTTTACAAATGGTTTACTACATCTAGAGAAAGGCATGCATAGTTTGCATGAGAAATGAGAGAGAGTAAGAGAGAAAAAATGAGAGAGAGTGGTAATGAAACTCTTGGAGCTTGGTTTGGGTGATAGTACATGAAGATAGGTAGATGGGTTGTCTTGCCAATTTATTTTAAGGACTCTCATTATTGAGGTGAGTGGTTTATGTAATGTATTTTAAAAGTTCTTATTTTGTGATAAAATATGAAAACCATGAATTGTCGTGGATTTGTTCTGTTTATAAATATCTCTCTATTTCAAGTCAAGCATGTCTAATTTGGTGCAATCTTTCACATTATATATATATATATATATATATATTGATTGGAATATTTGTGAAGTGGGTATTTTTCATGGAACATAAGAACTTCAATGTTGGGGTATTCGAGAGATAGATGTACCACACGGGGACGTAGGGCACTAAGGCCAATATGGGTCAAGTGGTTGATTACATACTATGAAGGATAACCGAGATATGAATGGATGATATGATATGATCTGGTCCGACACGTTATGGGCTTTGAGATGATCCGTTATGGGCTTTGAGATGGTCCGGTCAGCCTTGGGCTGGCTAGCACAGTACTCATTTTTTACTGTTCTTTGTTTGCCTTGCATATCCCATCTTGTGAACATATAATAGATAATTTCAAGAACCATGGGGCATTATTCATCTTACGTGTTGAGAAGAATACTGTGTTTACTCATTTAGTTGAGGATAATTTTCATAAGCAGGCTCGTTGCATTATGGTGACTGGAAAAGGATTTGGTCACAAAGCTACGAAGTATTATTTTTGAAAAAGCTTTATTATGGGTTAAAGCTTCCAGTGCTAGCCATTGTCGATTGCAATCCATCTAGACTTCACATATTTTTTATTACAAATATGGTTTGGTTAGAAAATCATTTGACAGTCGTGACTTAGCCACTCCAAACATTAAATGGTTGGGTTTGAGGCCGTCAGATATAGAAAAATATGAAGTTTATCCAGAAGACATACCATTGGAAAAGACTCGTGTCTCTGTAGCTAGGCCTCATCATTTGGCCCGCGGGTTCATGGGCCGACGGGGGCTCGCCTAGCCCATCAAGAAAAAGCCCGGCCCGGCCCGTTATGAGCTTTAAGATGGTTCGGCCCGCCTTAGGCTGGGCTAGCACAGTACTCTTTTTTACTTTTCTTTGTTTGCCTTGCGTATCCCGTCTTGTGAACATATAGTAGATAATTTCAAGAACCATTGGGCATTATTCATCTTAATTGTTGAGAAGAATATTGTGTTTACTCATTTAGTTGAGGATAATTTTCATAAGGAGGCTCGTTGCTTTATGGTGACCGGAAAAGGATTTGGTCACAGAGCTACCAACTTATTCTTGAAAAAGCTTTATTATGGGTTAAAGCTTCCAGTGCTAGCCATTGTCGATTGCAATCCATCTGAATTTCACATATTTTATTATTATTACAAATATGGTTCGGTTAGGAAATCTTTTGACAATCGTGACTTAGCCACTCCAAACATTAAATGGTTGGGTCTAAGGCCGTTAGATATAGAAAAATATGAAGTTCATCTAGGAGACGTACCATTGGAAATGACTAGTGTCTCTGCAGCTAGGCCTTGTCATTTGGCCCGCGGGCTCATGGGCCGATGGGGGCCCACTGGCCTATCTAAAAAAGGCCTGGCCCGACCAGTTATGGGCTTTGAGATGGCTCGGCCCACCTTGGGCTAGGCTAGCATAGTACTCTTTTTTACTGTTCTTTATTTGCCTTGCATATCCCGTCTTGTGAACATATAATAGATAATTTCAAGAACCATGGGCCATTATTCATCTTATTTGTTGAGAAGAATACTGTGTTTACTCATTTTGTTAAGGATAATTTTCATAAGGAGTCTTGTTTCATTATGGTGACTGGAAAAGGATTTGGTCATAGAGCTACCAAGTTATTCTTGAAAAAGCTTTATTATGGGTTAAAGCTTCCAGTGCTACCCATTGTTGATTGCAATCTATCTGGACTTCACTTCTTTTAATTTCAAATATGGTTCGGTTAGAAAATCATTTGACAGTCGTGACTTAGCCACTCCAAACATTAAATGGTTGGGTTTGAAGCCATCAGATATAGAAAAATATGAATTTCATCCAGGAGACATACCATTGGAAGGGATTAGTGTCTCTACTGCAGCAAATAGCTTTTTGAAACAACAGTTTGTGACAAGTGACAAAAATTGGGCTAGTGAGATAGAAAAAATGTTGGAGATCGGAAAGATGATAAATATTGAGAATTTGAACTTGAAAGGTAGTCAATATTTGTCAAGGGAATTCTTGCCAAAGAAATTGGTGGCAAAGGATTGGATATAGAGGAATCAAGTAACAAAGTATTGGTGCTGCAATCATTATGCAAAAGGCCTTGTTAATATTACTAACTTATTGTTTACTATGAGACCATCTCCAACCATGGGAGGTCAAACCTAAAATTTGAGATTTTTAGCCCAAAACCTTCTCCAACCCATGTATTTGGAGGGGGGGTAATTTGAGTGGACTGAAAAATGGGGTGGAATTTCACCTCAGATTCCAGTCCAGGCAGAATTTTTGTGGGGCCCATTTCGCAAAAGACAAGAGACACATGAGGCCACATTTGAAGCAAATGATGGGCTGTTGCCCACTACCCCAAGTTGCTGGCCACTTGTCAAAGCCTAGGCAACTTAAAAATTGGACTTCTATGGCTGCATATAAAATGGGCTCCTTTCAATTTTTTTTTTTAAACTTAAAGGCTAGAAATCAACGGCTGATATTAAATTTTGGCTGGATCAAAGGGAAAAAAATTAATCCAACAGCTGAAATTTAAATCCAAAGGTCAAAATAAGTAAATATATTATTATAAGTTGGATGCAACCTCAAAACATATCCTAAACTCTATAAATACCCATCAATTTGTTAATAAAATTATGTTTGTGAAATCTCAAAAAATTTATGTCAAAATGTTCAAAAAAATAAATCATGAAGTAATATGCAAAAATTAATTTTAAAAAAATTAACCACAAAAACAAAATAGGATTATATTATTCTTTAATAATTTAATAAAGTTGCAGACTCAAATTATGAGTCCGCAAGGTTGGAGGAAAAAACAGTTTGAGTCCTAAAAATACATGAATAGTTGTATTTTGGAGGGTGAAAATTTGAGTTTAGCCCTAACATGATTGGAGATGGTCTGAGGGTTGTTAATTCTAGCCAGGGTGGAAAATTTAGATAATGGCATTCTTTTGCATTATATAAGTGAACGAAATAGCAACATACTTCGATAGAATGAAAAACTAATTCTCTTTATGAATAATCATTAATTAATTCAAAACATATTCAGGCCACGTTACGTCTCACTTGGGCCTGAATTTGTCTTGGACCTTACTCGGCGTTTATGTATTTCATGGTTCATGGGGGAGTTGCCCAATGGGAAACAAACATGAAAGTAGACTACTTTAAAATAGTTTTGACAGTTCGAGTCATTCGAAATCTGAGTCATTCTTGATTTGTGTAGTATATAGGGTTGGCTAACTTTTCAAGAGGCCCCAATTTTGATTAGAGATGCATCAAGATTCTCCTTTGTTGGAGAATATTTCATATGTATTGTATATTAATGATTCCAACCGTCTAATTTGTAGATATTTCCTCAAAAACTATTTCGGTAAAAAATAACTTGAATACAAAATTATTTCACCACTCAATTAGATGGTTGTTATTATAGTTTTTTCGTGAAGTACCATGTTCGTCTATTTTGTAGATCCCAACCAAATGCCTTAATGATTTTCAATTTGTTTGATTTTATTTTTTATTTTTTATTTTTTTGTAACGGTGATCTCTAAGAATGAAGACTTAAAAAAGAGACGATTTGTGACAGGACCCGACCCAAATTCCACTTTGAAATTTGAGTTGAACCCTGTGCATGTACGACACCCGGCAGGTGCCATGCACAAAATACCAAAATACCCTTCTAACTAGAAACCAAATTTTTTACTAGTTTGACTTCTACCGAAATTTCGGCAGAGTCTCATTTGTAAATTGTACGTTCCCAAAAATTTTACCTGTAAAGAAAACATAATTTTTATAATCCCAACATTCACATGCACGATAATACCATTCAAACGACCAACATCAATTTATTATGGCCTCAGGCCTCTCTAACCCAAATAAATGTTCTATCATCTAAAATTCATCTCAACTTTCATATCATTAATAATACATTAGCAATTTCAAACACACTAACTCGCGGCTACACCTTGTAACATTAGGTTGCCTACATACCCTTACTGAGGGAACAAGCCACACGTAGTTCTTTCCCTTTAATAATGTACTTGAATATCTTATTCATTCATCATATTGCCATGTGTTTTGCAAATCAAACTGAGTGCTCATGCGCATGATGTACTCAATCATATTCACAACTCTAAAACAATACATTACAGCTTCCCAATACTCGAAACAGTCATATACTGAATATAAATAAGCCATACGTTGAACTCCCTCTAATTCATGAATCGTTTTGTATATTATTCGCTTAAATTATATATATATATATATAAGATTATAATAATAGAAATAGAAATAAAAGTAAAAATGACAATAACAAAATAAAAAAAATAAAAAAAATAAATATATATGTATCAACAACTTAACTGAAATATATATACATATATATATAAATACAAAGTTCCAAAGTGATTACAAGATTTATAAACAAGCTATAGCATGTGAACCCAGTTGTGTCTAGAGCAATAAAAAGGAACATACACTATCTTTGTTTTCAAGATGGTTCATCATCATTCTGAAGATGAACTTTGGAAACCTATTAGGATCATCACGCGTTGGGCCACTAACTTCCTTAACTTTGCAATATCATCAAGAATAAAATCGAGAGGCCTGCAGATTGGCAGTTGAACCATTTCAAATTGGGAAAGAGGGGGGAATAGTCACATCATACATGAGGACACGTTAAAAATTACAAGAATAATAGAGGCCAAATAAAATGGGTGAGGATTTTTACAGGCTGGAATCCTGCTTTCCCTCCTGCTGCTCTTCAGGAACTTCTTCCATTTTCTTCTCTATCTCGGAATTTGACAAACTGAGATTTAGCTGAGTGGAAAGTTGGTTCAAATTAAGAGAAGAGGCAACCAAATTCATAAAAATATTCGAATTCACAACTAAATTGAACTAATGAAAAGTAACTTTAATCATATATATCTCATGGCAAGCCTCCACTAAAATAACTTCTTTTTTTTTTTTTTGTGTGTGTGTGTGTGTGTGTGTGGTCAATAGTGATCTCATTTAGGGTTTGGCCAAGAGAAACAAGACAAGCCTTGACCAACCAAGGGAGCAAACAAAAAACGACCAAGGAAGACAAGTCACGCAGGACAAGTTCCAACCAAACTAGATCGCAGACTCAACAAAAATAACCTTAAATATTGAAAAAAGGAGAGAGAGAGAGAGAGAGAGAGAGAAATTTCATGCATACAGATACAGTATCACTTCGGCCAGAAAGAGCATTGCTGTTGTTCTCCTCCGGTTCAGAGCTTTCCAACGAGTTTTTCATTCTTGTTTCTTGGAGCGATGGACGGGTGGAGAGAAAATAAATATTTTTTAGGGTTTGAGAAGACGAACTTTGCGATTTTTTAAATGAAGACGACACGTTAAGAATTAGAAGAATAGAGCCCAAATAGTCACCAACTGAGAAACAAAGCAGCCAAGAGAAACAAAAGGGTTTAGGGTTTCGCCAAGAGAAACAAAGCAGCTCTTGACCAACCAAGAGAGCAAACAAAAGCCACCAAGGAAGACAAGTCACGCAGGACAAGTCCCAACCAAACTACATCGTACACTTAACTAAAGTAACTTTAAATATTGAAAAAGAAAAAAAAAAAGGAGAGAGAGAGAGACGCATGCATACAGTATCACTTCGGCCAGCATTACTGTTGTCCTCCGGTTCACAGCTTTCCAACGAGTTTTTCTTCCTCGTTTCTTGGAGCGAGCGAGAGATGGGTTGAGACAAGAGTAGACAATCGTTTTCAGGGTGGAGAGAAGACCGACTTTGCGTTTTTATTTTAAATTTTTTTTGTGCAAACCGATTGCTTTTTGTTGAAGTAGCAAAGCCTCTCAATAAATTACAACAAGAAAAAAAGCCTTTCAATAAAATAAAATAAAAATCAATAAGACAGTTTGGGCAACAAACGTAATATATGTAATGTTTGGCTTAAGAACTTTCATGTTCTCTTTTATTTATTTACCAGCCCCAAGTGCCAATTGATTTTTATTTTTGAATTACGAAATTAAAGATAATCCAACCAAAAAAAATTGAAATTGTGTTTCATGAAAATAGAACCCAAGTTCTTATTTTGGTTTTTATTTTAAATTTTTATAATGTTAAAAAATATTATTTTACTATATTATTTTTATTTAATGAAAAGTTTCAATACTTAATAAATTCATGGATAATTTTCATATGTATGAGACTGAGATGAAAAAAAACTTGATGCGAAGACTGAAACTCTGTAAACTTCCGCGTACTAAAATGAAAATTACCCTAAATTCATTAATCAATGACAATTTTTATATTTCGAATGTTTTACTATTCTTTGCCTTTTATTATATATATATATATATAGATTTCCTTTTGGTACATATTTTTTAAATGTTTTTCGGGAACGTTACTACTCACTGGTGATCCATTTTACAAAATTTAGCAAAAAACTGGCTTTCTTTCATGTTTTTTTTTTCTTTCCCTTTTTTCTGTTTAAAAAACAAAACTTCGTTTGTGTCACTGAGAGAATCGGCGGTGGGATTGCCAAACTGCATTTCCGGCTACTACACCTTACATACTCAGCCAAGAATTAATTCCAAACCTCTCTAAATAATTTTCAAGCGAGCCCAAAAGGTGAGTGAGGCTAAAATAATACGCGACTGGATGCTATTAATCATAGATATGTGGACTCCACCATAAAATCCATACTCGTTGGCGTATGCTTGGGTGACTGCCATCAATCGAAAAATGTGAATCCCAATATAAGGTGTGAGGTCTACGTCCATCGAAGGATGACAGTCACCCAACACAACCAAGTGAGCGTGGTGATCGTGTGTGGATGGTATTGTCAGTATATATGCACCTGTTTATATTGCCATATGCATGTGTATCTATCATCAGTAGCAGTCTGGCTATGATCCCACATTTCCACTGGGTGTTTCTTTTTCCAGTGGGTTTTTGTTTGGGCCTATGAACGTGGGTTTAGTTAGTCATGGGAACAGTAACCTCCATATGCACAGCATTTTGAACGAACAGAAGCCCAGCCAAGCCATAGGTGTTTCCTTTCCCTCATGCTCTATTATCGACCACCCCCTGTTTATTCCCTCATCTTATCCATCTTCCTACTTAAGTTTCTTGGAATCACTTTCTAAATATTTCTTTTAATTTTGCCTTTTCTTGGGCTTCGGTATCTCAGTCTATTTCGAGTGTGACGTTGAGCTTTGCCCTTAGACAGATTGCACACAATTATTGTAATATGGGGTCTACAGACATTGAAAGTTTACCAAATATTATTTGCTTGTGATCTTTATGTTCGGTATTGGTGGTTGTTTTCAACTTTAGTGTTTGTCTTGAATGCTTTGCTGTTTCATGTTTTGTTTTTGCTTGCTTCCTGTTTGTTTGAGTGAGTCTTTTCCTTCGTTGAATTTAGCTTCAATTTGTCTTTTCTGGTTGCATTATGGGTGTGTCGTCCTTAATCTTTGGTGCTTGCACTGTTCTTCATATTCTTTTACTTTACAATTCATTTTTTGTTGTTGTTTAGTGATGAGTATATCCTTATGGAGAATTCTTCAATAAGTAATTTAAGTTAAGGATTTGTTACATGTTTCTAATTTCGACCGTTTGATTGCATTTATTAGATGTGTTAGTAGATTTAATATGTAATATACATGCAATCCAACGTTCGAGATTAAAATTATATAATCAATCATTCACATAAAATACTTATTAAAAAATTTCTCATATATATATATATATATACACACGTACATAATTACTTATGACATATGCGAGATTGGATTGAATTATACCTTTTCACTCACTTTCAGTGAGTGTCAATGGAATCCATGAGTTGACACCACGTTTTCCACTGCCAGTCTCCGCCACCATCAAACGTCCTAAGTCCAATAATTAAATGTAGTAATTATTTCAAGCAATGTGGAAGTAATTTGCATGACCAGAATACCATCTCTATGATAAGATTCCTAAACAAAAAGAAACAAGTGAATGAGATCTAAAAATATAATTATTTATTTTATTTTCTATTCATAGTTTTGTTTGGAAGCTGAAAGACCAACTAGCTAACTAGACTCCCATGACAAAAAAAAAGCTAACTAGACCCCAAATCTGTCTTTCTTGCTCTCTCTAGCTCTGACATTATGGAAAATCCAGAGGAGAAAGGCCCTGCATATGGAGGACAAGATTTCACACAAGATGGGACTGTGGATCTCAAAGGCAGACCAATTTTAAGATCTAAGACTGGGAGATGGAGAGCTTGCTCCTTCATTGTGGGTATGTATGTATATAGCTTAATTATAACATTATATATACATTTACATATATATATTGTTGTGTTTTTTAGGGTATGAAATATTTGAAAGGATGGCAAATCATGGGGTTTCAGCAAACTTAGTGGTGTATTTGACAAGGAAGCTCCATGAAGGCACTGTACAATCTTCAAACAATGTCACCAACTGGTCTGGTACCCTTTGGCTCACACCTATTTTAGGTGCTTACATTGCAGATACGTACATTGGTAGATATAGGACCTTTGTTCTAGCAGTTTCCATTTATCTCATGGTAAATTCTTGGACACAACTTTTTTCTTTTTTCAGATGAATTGTCTTAGGTAGCTCATATAATAACCGCAGTAACAAAAATATGGGTTTCTCTTAACAGGGCATGTCACTTTTAACACTAGCTGTATCAGTGCCAGCTTTGAAGCCACCAGCTTGTAACCATGGCATTCAAGCAGAGGACTGCACAAAAGCTTCACCTTTTCAAGTGGGCATCTTCTATTGTGCATTGTACATGATAGCAGTTGGCACTGGTGGAACCAAGCCCAACATCTCAACCATGGGAGCGGACCAATTTGATGATTTTGAGCCCAAGGAGAAGTCCCACAAGCTCTCCTTCTTCAATTGGTGGATGTTTGCCGTTTTCTTTGGCAACCTTTTCTCAAGCACTTTCTTGGTGTACATACAAGACAATGTTGGTTGGACTCTTGGCTATGGCATCCCAACAGTTGGGCTTGTGATTTCAGTGGTGGTGTTCTTGGTGGGAACCCCATTTTACAGGCACAAATTGCCTTCAGGAAGTCCTATCACTAGTGTTGCTCAGGTACTAGTAGCAGCAGTTAGGAAGTGGAAAGTTCCTGTCCCAAATGACCCAAAAGAGCTTTATGAGTTGAGCTTGGAAGATTATGCAGACAAAAGCAAACTCAAAATTGACCACACCTCATCTTTGAGGTACTTGTTCTTAGTGTCTATGTTTAATTCTTAGTCTCGAAATTCGTGCATCTCTTATTATCGAGGAAATGTTCTTTTATCAAACAGTCTAACATATTATGTTATTATATTATAAATTTGAACAATTTATGGGCCTCGAACAAAGTCTCTCTTATTAATGAGAAAATGTTCTCTTGTTAAACAGTCTGAGATATTATGTTATCATATTATCAATTTGAACTACTAATTGCGTGAATTCTTGTTTTAATAATGGTAACAAATTAAGTAAATTGGAACCATTTTTTATATCACAATCTCTTAGTTTTAGACAATAATAAACATATATAATGTTCATCATAGTCTTCAAACCAAGTGCTTTCAATTTCTAACCTTTACCCCTAAGTGGATGTCCCACCTTACTTGCTCTGCATTAAGCTCCTGCAGATCACTTGACAGAGCTGCTGTGAAGAGTGGACCGAACACGCCATGGACTCTATGTCCAGTGACCCAGGTTGAAGAAACCAAACAAATGATGAAGATGATTCCAGTTTTGCGCACAACATTTATACCTGCCATCATCATAGCTGAGACACACACCCTTTTCATCAAGCAAGGCACCACATTAGATGCTTCAATGGGTCCCCATTTCAAAATCCCCCCTGCATCTCTCGGATCATTCATAACACTTTCCATGTTGGTCAGCCTCCCAATCTATGAACGTCTCTTCGTGCCGGCAATCAGGCGTTACACGAATAACCCCAGAGGAATCACACTGCTGAAGAGAATGGGAATTGGGTTTGTGATGCAAATCATAATCATGGTCATTGCCTGTTTGGCTGAAAGAAAAAGACTCAGCGTTGCAAGAGAAAATGGCATCTTTGGCAAAGGAGAAAAAGTACCTCTCACAATTTTCATTCTGCTGCCACAGTTTGCTCTGATGGGTGTAGCTGATACCTTTGTGGAAGTTGCAAAAATTGAGTTTTTCTATGACCAAGCACCACAAGGCATGAAGAGCATGGGGTCTTCATATTTCACTACAAGTTTTGCGGTTGGGAATTTTCTAAGTAGTTTTCTTCTAAAAACAGTTTCTGATGCGACCAAAAGACATGGACACAAAGGCGGCTGGGTCTTGGACAATTTGAATGCCTCACATTTGGACTATTACTATGCATTGTTGGCTGGCTTAGTCTTCCTTAACTTCCTATTCTTTCTGGTTATTGCCAAGTTCTTTGTTTATAATTCTGACATCTCTCAAGCCAAGGTAGCTGTGGAATCTTAAGATGTGATGACTTGAAGACTGGACTAGTTAAGCTGATCATGGATTAGAAGCTTTTTTTTACATATATGTTCCTTGCTTCTCAGTTAATTAAGATCAAATAAAATCCAACTAATTTCTTTCGGTCTCTGTCTGTAAACCCAATCAAAGATTTCCATATGGTACAAGATGAAACCGATTTCTCTTAAGAAAAGTCTTAGTATTTTGAGACCGTTTACATCTCCTATAGAAGTGAGACCCATATAAAACTCATCTATGCGGAAACGTCTTATCTGAGTTAGAATTGCATTAGCTACAAAAATGGCTAAGAGCATCCACAATGGGCTCCTTAAACCACATCCTTAGACAAATTTTAGGGAGAAATTGTAAAAATACAACTCCAACCACGCTCTCTATCCACCTCCTAAAATAGGGAGTCCTCTAGAAGCTCTTAAATCTGAGGAGAGAGAAAGGACTCCTAGTGGCTCCCTATAATTTAATGCTACTTTATTTAATGAGTATTTCAAACCTTTATTTAATGCTAACTATTTTTTATTTTATTTTTTAATAGAGATGGACCAATCAAAAAAGAGTTATAGCATTTATGACTCTCCAAATTATAGGGTATGGTTGGAGTTGAAATTTTTTAGAGAGCTCCTAAAATAGTTTTCTTATATTCTTAGTCAAATTTTAGCTAAGAAATAGAGAGCATCATTGTGGATGAAGCATCCAGCCTCCTTAAAATCTTCAGATTCTTCACCATGGCTGATGCATACGTCTGTCTTCTTCTTATGATGCATTTCAATTTTTAATAGCAAGTTGATGTAGATTGATTGATATAAATAAATAAACAAAATGAAGAAAGAAAATTATTTTTGGATTCGCATATTCATGACCGGCTAATTTTGATTCCATGAAAGTGACGTTTCACACAAAACAAACACTTTGCAGTGGCATGAGGTTAATTTCAAAATGTTAGAATATGATTAATCACATGTGGCCTACCAAAAGAAGGATAAAATTAAAGACACATGTCAAATTAAAGAGGACAGCAGATCGTAATCTTTCGTTTTTCGCCACCTAATTTTTTGATTAATTTTGATGTGACATGGGTATTATCAAACTTTAGGATCGTTTTCTGAAATATTTTATAAATAAATAAATAAGAGAGTATCCAAATCCTTCGATGGTTTGTTATAGTTCAGGGCTTGTTCTTCTAGTACTTGTCGACATCACTCATCTATCTCTGGTCATTAATAGTTTCAATTATTGCTGAATTATATTAGTAAATATAATTTTTCCAATTACTCAACAGAAAAAATATATATTAGAAAATAACACAAAGATCCTAAGTCGGCTTCTTTTTCTTCTTGTTTTTTTGTTAAACATTTACTAGTTTAAGAGAAGGCGAATAAGTTAGAGTTAAAATAAAATCGACTAGCTCATAATTTCGTGAATGATTAACAACCGTTGATTAATATGAATTTTAAATTTATTAATGGTTACTTGTAGTCACCCACAAGACACTATACCGTTAATAAAGCTTATAGGTGAAAAACAAAAAATGTGACCAACAAGGTGACAGGAAATAAATCTAAAATGTTGGAGCCAACCAACTAATTAATTACCCGTACGTCCGAAGACTTTATAAAAAGCTATGAGCTAATCACATGACTTTCAAGGCCCCAAGTTCCTAGTCATTTGATTAAACACATGATGGCAAGTGTAGAAGAGAAAGGCTCTGCAGATGGAAGAGAAGATCACACACAAGATGGGACTGTGGATCTCAAAGGTAGACCAATTTTACGATCAAAGACTGGGAGATGGAGAGCTTGTTCCTTCATTGTAGGTATGTAATGAACTCCCTAGTTTTTGTTCTTCAAATATTGTAAGGGCCCCTTAGCTGGGAGCAAAACGTGCATATCCCGGAGGTATACATCTATTTGTAAGTTTAATTTTCTTTTTACGTGACTTGTCGCGTAAGGAGATAATTAGACTGAGTATGTGTTAACAAGTATAAGTCTCGTGGTCAAAACCATCCTCCGTTTCACTATGACGAATCAATATGTATGATTTTTGTTGTTGCTGGGTGTGTTTGATTAATTTGTAGGGTATGAAGTGTTTGAGAGGATGGCATACTATGGAATTGCATCAAACTTGGTGATTTATTTGACAACGAAGCTCCATGAAGGCACAGTAACCTCTGCCAACAATGTTACCAACTGGGTTGGGACTGTGTGGATGACACCTCTGTTGGGAGCTTATATTGCAGATGCTCATCTCGGCCGCTACTGGACTTTTGTTATTGCTTCTGCCATATATCTTGCGGTACGAATTAACTCAATTCCAAGCACTCAATAAATTATATCCACATGCATATACATAATTTATCATTTCTCATGATAGAACTTGCATGCCAATATATATGCACAAGTATATATATGGATCATTAATTGTTGAACATACCACAAGCATTATACATAAGTGATAATTTTCTGCTTAAATGTGATCACATCTCACCTTGGTAACATGGAAGCTTATTAAGGGTTTTTTGTTTTTGATTTTTTTTTAAAAAAAAGTTATACTAAAAGGTTTCGGCCGCTAGCATATGCATTCACAGATAATTTACAAGAACAAACCTAATTGGTATCGAAAAGGTGATGATAAAATCACCCTTAACTTATCTCATGCACTCCTCACTTGTGAGTGGTAGAAGAGCGTGTGAGGTGAGATTTGAAGTGTCAAAATAATTCCCAATAGGATATCATGATGGCCTTTTTATGTATTTCTCATTGTATATTTTGGGATATAATTGGTAGTTTGATGACACATCACAAGCCTCCTCATGCACTTGCCTGCCTCTTTAACTTTTCCTATCCAGTTATCAAATAACTGCTCTCAAATAGATAAGAGATTAGTTGATCATGACAATTTTAAATATGAAGCAGATTCACAATTTCACCAATATGCCTAATAATTAAGAAAAATGAAGCTGAAAATTTTGGCTTTTGGGCCATTTGGTCCCTATCTGGCTTTAACAATCTATGCATTACATAATTTTTTCACTGTATCTATAGAAGAAACTCATAATGCTCCTCTTGGTTACCAATTAGGGGATGTCCCTATTAACCCTAGCAGTTTCATTACCTGCCCTAAGGCCACCATCATGTGGCCATGGAATCAAAAGTGAAGATTGTGACGAAAGAGCCTCACCATTCCAAGTAGGCATATTCTATGGTGCATTGTACATAATTGCAATTGGAACAGGAGGGACCAAACCCAACATCTCAACCATGGGAGCAGATCAATTTGATGAGTTTGAGCCCAAGGAGAAGACCCAAAAGCTCTCCTTTTTCAACTGGTGGATGTTCAGCATTTTCTTTGGGACCCTTTTCTCAAACACATTCTTGATTTACCTACAAGACAATGTGGGCTGGGCTCTTGGCTATGGGCTTCCAACACTTGGGCTTGCTCTCTCTATTTTGGTGTTTTTGTTGGGCACTAAATTTTATAGGCACAAATTGCCTTCTGAGAGTCCTTTCAGTAGGATAGCTCATGTGATTGTGGCTGCTCTAAGAAAGTGGAGGGTTACAATCCCAGATGACCAAAAAGAGCTTCATGAGCTGAGCTTGGAAGCGTACACAAAGTCTGGGAAATTCAGAATTGACCACTCCCCTTCATTAAGGTAGATCCAAATGACCCTATACCACATTTTTAATAGGATTGTGATGCGGTCTATATAATGTAGTTAATTAATGCGATACAAATAGTTTTATTTTGATAAGCCTAAATATCGCTAGCATTTTATTACCTGCAGATTTCTTGACAAAGCAGCTGTAAAGAGTGGGCCAACCTCACCGTGGATGCTATGTCCCGTGACGCAAGTTGAAGAAACCAAGCAAATGATCAAACTGGTTCCGATTCTGGTAGCAACATTTGTGTCAAGCATGATGTTAGCTCAAGGAGGAACACTTTTCATCAAACAGGGCACAACACTAGATAGAAGCATAGGTCCCAACTTTGAGATCCCTCCAGCATGTCTCTCAGCATTCATAACAATCTTCATGCTGATAAGCCTTGTAGTCTACGACCGCCTCTTCGTCCCATGGATCCGGCGCTACACGAAGAACCCTAGAGGGATCACATTGCTGCAGAGATTAGGCATTGGCCTTGTGTTACATGTCATGATCATGGTCACAGCTTGGTTGGCTGAAAGAAAAAGGCTGAGTGTCATAAGAGAACGTCAATTGTTTGGGAAAAAGGACACACTTCCTCTCACAATTTTCCTTCTTTTTCCTCAGTTTGCTTTGTTGGGGATTGCTGATTCTTTTGTGGAAACAGCCAAGATAGAATTGTTCTATGACCAAGCACCCCAAGGCATGAAGAGCCTTGGGACCTCATACTTCACAACCAGCTTGGGAATTGGAAGCTTTCTTAGTAGTTTTCTTCTCTCAACAGTTTCAAACATCACCAAGCAACATGGCAGGGGTTGGATTTTGGACAACCTGAACATCTCTCATTTCGACTACTACTATTTGTTCTTGGCTGTCTTGAGCTCTCTCAACCTGCTCTTCTTCCTCTTCGTGGCGAAATACTTTGTTTACAATGCAGACACGACAGATCCGAAAGGAGACTTTGCCATGGAAACTTTGCCAAACAAACCTCCGGCTGAAGCTCAAACCGAAGCCTCAAATGCTCTACTTGTAAGCTGATAAAATGTTTATTGTGTTTGCACAAAGGAAAACACAAAACTATATCAAGACATATAAACTTGAAGACCAGGTTTCAAACCTAAACAGGCTTCATTCTGTTGGAAGAACAACAATCATTAACGAAATTAAACAAAGCAGTAAAATAAAAGGGTTGCAGTGTCCTTTAATTAATTAATTTTGTTTAATTTAAATCACAGAGCCCAAGAGCCCCCAAGGCCCAAAGCCCATCTTTTAATTAATTAAATATATATATTAATTAATCATTGGCTCAATTAATTAGACATTGATCTAAAGGCCAAAACCCACAAACGAATTTTGCTGGCATAGATCTTTGCCGACGAACTTTCGTCGTGATAGGTTTTTTTAATTTTTTTT